TTTCATGTTGTAGGAATATGTTTTCGTATGAGATTGATATGATGTCACAAACAAGTAGTGCACAAAGTAACATTAATCTGCCCATTGTGGTGGAAAGTAACATTGATTTACCCATTGTGGTAGAGCCCATTGAGACACAAAAGAAAAGCGATCTGCCCATTGTGGTTGAGCCCAATGAGGCACAAAACAAAAGCGATCTGCCCATTGTGGTAGAGCCCATTGAGGCGCACAAAATAACATTGTCATTGATCTGCCCATTGTGGTAGAGCCTATTGAGGCAAAAACTATTGATCTGTCCATTGTGGGAGAGCCTGTTGAGGCAAAAACTATTGATCTGCCCATTGCGGTAGAGCCCATTGAGGCAAAAACGTAACTATTGATCTACCCATTGTGGTAGAGCGCATTGATTATATTCCACTGTTGTTGAGACTGGCAAATGATGTTGACGAAATATTTATGCACATCTTTACAGTAATTAATAATTAATAATCAGGCTTAATAAGATTCCTATAGCAACCCAGTGTGGATTGTTGTCTGCATATATTAACTTACCAGCAGTAATAGCATGTCAACTGACTTTTCTATGACGGTCTGTTTATATCTCCGAGACATGTCCATTGTTAGCATAATATGAAATAATTCCACTGGCCTACTCATATGTTCACTTGACTGTGTTGCTACATTTCAGGGTATACTATATTTTTCAATAATGCTCACAATTTCTTTCTATATAGGTTTGCAGTTCTGACTGAGTACAATCTTAATCATTACAATAAATGGTGTCATCGGAAGCTGATGTATTAATTAAACAAAAAATGTTAACGAATACATTTTGTCTCCTCATTAGCAGATTGTTCAGGTGTTCTGTGATAGGGGTTGTTTCGCTAATTTAATTTAAAAATAGATAAATAATTACGTCATTGAACAGACAAAGTCACGTGAAAGAAAATAGCGGGAAATAAACACGTTGGTTTTAAGTGACTCGAGGTTTAACGTTCAGAAATAGCTTTATATTTGGTATATTGTAAAGTGATATAGGCCAAAGAAGTAAGTTCATATTGTTTATTATTACTAATTTACTTTATTCAGTAGATAATTCTTGTATTTATACTTTTAGATCGAATACTACAACTACTAACTACTAAAAACTACTATTATTATACGATATTTGGAAATTATTTGTGGTCACTTTACATACCGGTTTCTGATTCTGGCGAGCCAGGGGTGGCATTAAAACAATGATTGGGGCAAAAACTGACTTAGTATTTCTATATATAATATTATACAGTATTTAGTGGCAAGCTATGCTAAGCTAATAAACCTGCTATGCTAATAAACCTGCTATGCTAATAAACCATGCTATTCTAATAAACCTGCTAATAAATGCTAATAAATCCTGCTATTAATTATGCTAATATGCTAATAAAATTATGCTATTAATTATGCTAATATGCTAATAAAATCATGCTATTAAATATGCTAATATGCTAATAAAATCATGCTAATAAATCATGCTATGCTAATAAACCTGCATTATTTGGATAATGCAAATATAAATGCTATGGCTAGCTTTGCCACAGACAGTATTATAATTATACATGCAAAAGTAAGAAATTATAACCATTGAAAGTATTCATATTATACCGTCCATGCAGGCCATGCTAAGAAAGTAGAATTAGAATATTTAGCTAACCTTCGACTTTGTGCAAGGTGTTTGATATTCAAATTGCATTTTCCTACTTCCTGAACAGGTATCTTATGGGCTATTTACATGTTGGAAGGTGGGGTGATTTTGATGTATTGAAATAAGGCTAAACAAAAGTTCAAATGCTGGTTAACAGAAATTAAATGTTGTACCGAAGATCTAGTAGTTCAAGCAGGCTATTATTACCAGGGGCGCCGGAACGGCTGTAAAAGTGGGGGAGGAAGGCGGGTGACGACAGGTAACTGTGTAGGGGATCCAGGGGCATGTCCCCTGGGATACTTAAAAACTATATTCACTGAAATGCCATGTCCTGCACTTTAGGAGATTTACAGAGTTAAAAAGTGGGTGGCCCAAAGACATTTAGGAGGGACTAGCTAACAGTCGTGGGTCGTGGGTCGTGGGTAGAATGTCGTGGGTCGTGGGTAAAAAGTCGTGGGTAAAAAGGCGTGGGTCGTGGGTAAAAAGGCGTGGGTCGTGGGTAAAAAGGCGTGGGTCGTGGGTAAAAAGGCGTGGGTTGTGGGTAAAAAGGCGTGGGAGGCTTTCCCAAACTATGCCCAAATATGCATAGCTTAGAGCACGTTAAGGCCGGCTTTTGATATCGGCAGATCGGTTTATAAATATTATAACCAAGTGTGGATGAAACAGTTCAACTTCAAGCCCCATATAGCTCAAATATTTGGACGTTATAATCTTATAGACAGATAAATATTGTAATTCTTCAATAGGAAATAGTGCTGTCAAGCCTGTCATAAATAGCTAAATTCTGACATTCAGGGCTTCACTAATTTGTTGATCGATGTTCTTACAGTAATAAGCGAGAAATTTCCACTTGGACAGTGTTAATTTAATGCAATGTCTGTTAATTTACTAGGGAAAAATAAAAGAAAGCATTTGAGAGATTTCACTTAAATACGTACTTAGTATCTAACCATGATGTTGCAGTAGTGAATCTAGTGTCAAATTTATTATGTGATTTGTATTTTCTAATGTCAAACATATAAGTTACAAATATACAGTCACATAGTGACACATACAGTATTTGTAACATTCATGCTTTGACTTATCTTTCAGTAGGCTTTTGTCGGATTATTTTACCGTAGGTTTGATAACAGAGAGGTATGACTTCTACATATTTCTTGAGCATCAAGTTTCAGCGAAGTCAATGGCAAGTTGGAATTTGGAAATTTCACAGCGCTTATTTAATAACAGCCCGAGTAGCATTGTTTACATGCAAGGTTTGTTCCGTTTGTAGTTTGCGATATTTCAGAAATCGTTTAGGATAGACTTCAGCAGTTTTAAATAACAGCAACATTGGTTGCTCTAGAGATATATTTTCTTGTAATGTTTACGACGATGTCGGTAATATCAACAACAAAATTACCGATATGGATATCGATGCATCACTATTTTGCAGACCGGCGATCTTCGAATTCTTTGTGTAGTATATACATGAAGACCATATATAAGTCAAATGTCATATTATTTCATTAATTAAATGATTAGCTATACTCCGCAGTTCCATATATAGCTCTGAAAACATATGATGCCATTGCCGGTTATAAAAATTTGACTATAATATCGAGTGGATAGTACTACTCAGCTTTCGTACATGTGGCCTTGAGCCATATTCTTATTGAAGAATTGCAGTAACTAATTTATCTGTCTATAAGATTATAACGTCCAAATATTTGAGCTATATGGGGCGTGAAGTTGAACTGTTTCATCCACACTTGGTTATAATATTTTTAAACCGATCTGCCGATATCAAAAACCCAGCCTTAACGCGCTCTAAGACTATTTTGGGCATAGTTTGGGAAAGCCTCAGAAAAAAAAAAACGCATTCCAAAGAAAGGTAGAAAGGTAAATGTATGGAAATACTTTGCTTGGAACTCACGACTTTGTATTCGGGACCCACGCCTTTTTACCCACGACCCACGCCTTTTTACCCACGACGCACGCCTTTTTACCCACGGCCCACGCCTTTTTACCCACGACCCACGCCTTTTAACCCACGACCCACGCCTTTTAACCCACGACCCACGCCTTTTTACCCACGACCCACGCCTTTTTACCCACGACCCACGCCTTTTTACCCACGACCCACGACTTTTTACCCACGACATTCTACCCACGACCCACGACTGTTAGCTAGTCCCCATTTAGGACCAGCCCCCACCCCCACCCTGCTTCCTACGCCCCTAATTATTGTTGCCTGAACAACCTTTCATTTACAATTAATTATAATCTATCTGAATCTTATTTTCTTCTGTAGTCTTTTGCTGTATTGTGCACCATAACTTATTTCAATACATCAAAATAATTCAGTTTCACACATCTTGTCCTGGCAAAGCAGGATCATATTAACAGCCCCTTATTCAGCAAATTGTGCATGCTGCCTTTGATCCCTTCGGGGGGTGAGGCAGCATTTTCCTTGCGATAGTAACTCCTAGTTTACTTATTATAACATTTAGCTTTTGACAATCATACCAATCTTTTTAAAGTATCGAACTTCACTTCGTTCAACACTTCAACCGTATGTTTTATTATTTATATCGTGTTTTTTATCGTATTGTTTTGAAAGTCCCCTCATTCCAGTGTCGGAACTAATGTAAACATTAACAGCAAACACTATACTAATCAACTAACATAAATAATATAGTTCATGTTTATTATACTAACCTAATTACTAATTCACCGGAAGTGACGGCGCTAATTCATTGTTTGGGTTAGCCAATAGACAGAGACTATTTACATGTGCTTTATGGGGGAATATATTTGTTATTGGGATCGGGAAATTTGTAGTTTTACTTGTGAGAATATTTGAGAGAGAAATTGTGATTTTAAACTGTGATTTGCTGTGTTTCTTATTATTATTGTCTGCGCGACGGGCAGTAGTTTCCTAAACGTGGCACCTCGCGACGAGATAAAGCCACGAAACCGTGACAACAAGGTATTCAATACAAAGCTGGGTGCGCGAGGGTGTGTTTATTGTGATGCAAAGGAGCACAAGTCGACTGGCTGTCCCAAAGTTGTCGATACCAAGGAAAGAAAGTCAGTACTGGCCAAACGGTGACTTTGTTTCAACTGCACGGGCGAAGGTCATCAAGCGGCGAGTTGTACAAGCAAGATAGCATGTCAGAACTGCGAACGGCGACACCATACATCAGTCTGCAACCGACCGAAGGAAAGGAATAACCTCATGACTGCAAAGAATGGCGAAGGAACATTTCCAATTGTGACGGTGAAGGTGAAGATGAATGGGGTAACCTGCAGAGCCCTTGTGGATTCGGGAGCTGGCAGCTCATACGTTTCAGCTAAACTGGTTAGTCTCCTGAATAAAAAACCTGTTGATGTGAAAATGAAACAAATTGATATGCTTTTGAGTAGTAAGTTGGAACGCCTCGAGACATACGAAACGGAGATACGGTCAATTGATGGGGACTTCAGCATGCAAGTGGACTTAATCAAGGTAAATAAGAGTGAACTCTTGTCAATTGACAACCCACTCTATAAGGTCCAAGTTGATACCTACCCCCATCTTAAAGGAGTGCATATTCATGATGATGATGCAAAGCCCCAGTTACCAGTGCATGTCGTTCTTGGAGGGGGAGAGTATGCCAGAATAAAAACCGAGAGTTGTCCGCGAGTTGGGAAAGAAGGTGAACCCATCGCTGAACTCACAAAGTTGGGGTGGTTTATTATGTCTCCAGGACAGGAGTTTGACCATAATAACATGATGTTAACGCAGACCTCTCAGTCAGATTATGAGGAACTCTGCCGACCAGATGTACTGGGACTGTCTGACACAGCAGAGCACGACCAAAGTGAAGTTTACAGGGAGTTTATGAGCAGTTACAGCGATCTCCAGAGGGCTGGTACACAACCAGTCTACCTTGGAAAGGGAATCACCCTCCCCTTCCTACAAATGAGAATGGAAGCCTTCGGCGTCTCACATCCCTGCAGAATCGTCTTCTCAAAAGGGGACTCTTCGAACAGTACGATGCTATAATCGAAGACCAAAAGGTTCAAGGAATTGTTGAGGAAGCACCAGCAAAACCTGAGAACAGGGAGAGTTACATACCCCACAAGGAAGTGGTGAGAGAGACAGCGACATCTACCAAACTGCGTGTAGTATATGACGCATCAGCGAAAGCAACCCCACTTAACGATTGTCTTTATCCCGGACCCTCCTTGCAGAATAAACTCTGGGAAGTGCTCGTGCGACAAAGAACCCACCCAGTGGCCTTGGCAGGTGATATTAAACAAGCTTTTCTGCAGATACGCATCAAAGAGACAGAGAGAGATGCTCTTCGGTTTCATTGGAGACGAAGAAATGACGAAATCCAGATCCTACGGTTTACTAGGGCGCTGTTTGGACTAGCACCATCACCATTTCTTCTCGGTGGCGTCCTGGAAGCACACCTGGATATGTGGAAAGAGAAACGACCCAACGATGTTGAAGAGATTAGACGCAGTTTGTACGTTGACGACATTCTCAGCGGTGGTGAAACAGTTCAGCAAGCACAAGAGCGAAAGGAAGCTGCCATAACTATACTTGATGATGCCAGATTCTCACTTCATAAGTGGGTATCGAACGAAAGCAACCTTGAAGACGAACCAAAACTGCCAACCAGTGATGAAGACCAGACGGCTGCAAAGATGCAGTTGGGCGTAGCACCGACCGAGTCAAAGATACTTGGAATGCCATGGAACAAAAGGGAAGATACCTTGGGTGTTCAATTGACCCGTGAAGAGAACAGCGCGACAACAAAACGGGAAATCCTCAGACATTTGGCTAAAGTTTATGACCCCCTTGGCCTTGCTTCACCCTTGACATTGCTAGGGAAGATCATCTATCGAGACATTTGTGATGCAAAGCTCCCATGGGATGCTGAACTTGACGGCGTGCTGAAGTCACGATGGTTGTCATGGAAACGGATGCTTCCTGATATGATAACAGTCCCTAGACCAATAGCTCGACATCAGGAGCCAATTACAGATATCCAACTTCATGGATTCGGCGACGCTAGCAATCAAGGAGTCAGTGCGGTTGTATACGCGCTCGCCAAACAAGACTCCGGAGACACCCAAACGTTAGTGGCTGCAAAGTCTCGCCTGGCGAAACGTGGACTTACCATACCTCGGCTAGAATTGGTCGCTGGTCATATGACAGCAAACCTGGTTAGCAACGTGGCGAAGGCGATCGGTGAAGAAAGAGTGTCACAACAACATGCATGGCTTGACAGTACAGTCGCTCTGTATTGGATACGAGGCATGGGGGAGTACCCACAGTTTGTGGCTAATCGTGTCATAAAAATTCAAGCTCACTTCAACATCGAATGGCATCACGTTCCTACTTCAGAGAACCCTGCTGACATAGGTAGCAGAGGAGGGCAGCCAACAGAGAAATGGCTAAATGGTCCAACGTGGCTTGGTGATGAAATGAAATGGCCTGAAAGCCCCCATCTCCATGCATCCTCAGAATCACAGTCTGAAGCCAAGGTAACTCGAGAAGTGTTAGCAGCCGCGGTGGCTGAGCCCGAGCGAGATGATCATGTAAACCTACTTGAGAAGTATACCTTGACAAAGACCCTGAGAATCGGTGCGTGGGTCAAAAGATTTATATATAATTGCAAGAATGAGAGAGACAACCGAATTGGAGGTCCTCTTCGTTATGACGAAATCCTGAAGGAAGAGAAGTGGTGGATTGCTAAAGTCCAGAAGTTGATTTCAGAAGAACGAGAAAAGCGTAAAGATCTTAACCTGCAAACAAATCAGGACGGACTGTTAGAATGTCGCGGCAGAATTGAGGGACATTACCCACTGTACCTCCCGGATGCTGCACTGTTTTCAACGAAGCTGGTCGAGCGGGAACACAGAGCAACCTTGCATGGTGGAATTTCGCTTACAATGACTAGGATAAGACAGCGTTACTGGATTCCTAAATTGCGCAGCCTCGTGAAACGGGTTCGAAGCAATTGTTGGGGATGCAAGCGAAGTCAAGCAAAACCATTGGGAGACCCTTTATCTGGTCCTCTTCCAAGCAGCAGGACAACGGGGAACACACCATATTCCGTGATCTGTGTGGACTTTGCGGGTCCTATTCTTTACCGTGCAAGCAAGAAAATTGAAAGGAAAGCTTACTTAGTGGTTTTCTCGTGCAGTCTCACACGAGGAGTACACCTGGAACTGTTAAAGAGCCTTGAAACTGAAGAGTTTCTACAAAGTTTTAAACGCTTTATTGCCCGACGAGGAAGACCTTCAGTCGTGTATTCCGACAACGGAGCCACCTTTAAAGCGGCAGTAACATGGCTAAGGACAGTTTGGAACGAAGAGAAATTCCACGAAGCTCTTTGCAAGCTTGAGATTGTTTGGCGATTCAACCTCGCAAAAGCACCATGGTGGGGTGGTCAATACGAGCGCCTCATCGGTATCTTCAAATCTATGTTTCGTACGACAGTCGGGGGTGGACTCTTGTCCTTTTCCGAACTAGAAGAAATCGTGCTCGACGTAGAAGTGTGCATGAACAACCGTCCCCTAACATACTTGGAGGATGATCCTCAGCTGCCTGTCTTGACACCAAACTCGTTTCTGTTCCAACAACCTACAGCAGTACCAGAGCTACAACCTCATCAATTAAAAGAGCGTGACCTGAAGAAACGTCTTAGGTTCCTTTGTACAACGAAAGATGGACTATGGAACCGCTGGACACGAGAGTATCTCACAGGACTAAGGGAGAGACATAAAATTGTTCGTGGATCTAAAGCAGAATGCCCAAATGTAGGAGATGTTGTCATTGTCAAGGGAGAAAACAAGAATAGAAATACCTGGAAACTGGGAAAGATCGTCCGACTTATTACCGGCAGAGACGGAGTGGTGCGAGGCGTAGAGTTACAAACGGGGAATGGAAGACTGGAGCGACCGTTGCAACTAATTTACCCTTTGGAACTTCATTGCGACCAAGAGGCTGTCGAATGGGAAGCTCCACCACTTAATGCACAAGCGAAAGAATTCAGACCTAAAAGGAAAGCGGCAGAGAATGCAGCAGCGAAGATCAATAAAGTACTTGCGGAGGAAGAGGAGACAGTGATAGATTGAACGATAGATTGAACGAGAGATTTTGAACAAGAGATTGGGACATTAGTTCCTTTTGTTGCATACATCTCATTAGAAAAGATGTATGGGGGGAGTGTGTCGGAACTAATGTAAACATTAACAGCAAACACTATACTAATCAACTAACATAAATAATATAGTTCATGTTTATTATACTAACCTAATTACTAATTCACCGGAAGTGACGGCGCTAATTCATTGTTTGGGTTAGCCAATAGACAGAGACTATTTACATGTGCTTTAGGGGGAATATATTTTGTTATTGGGATCGGGAAATTTGTAGTTTACTTGTGAGAATATTTGAGAGAAAAATTGTGATTTTAAACTGTGATTTGCTGTGTTTCTTATTATTATTGTCTGGGCGACGGGCAGTAGTTTCCTACAACTGGACCCCCCTTCTGAACCAATATTTTTTAGGTGGCCCCCCCTTTTCGGTCAAAAATACCTCATGACCCACCCCCTTTTTTTGCCAGCCCACCCCCAGTCATAAATAATGAATGGTCCCTTATAAATATTAAATAGTCAGTATAACATTGTAAAACAAGCTTAATACAAACAATATGCACTGAATATTAGAGAGGTTAAGATACCCCGGTTTCGGTGTACGGGTACGAGTAGTGTCATCTTGTTTTACTGATGTCTGTAATTCGATCATACTTTTTCTGTTTTCTTGCAATAGACAATGATATAATGCGAAAAATGTGCACCTTAATTACGAGTAAAGCTACAGACATCGACGAAAATATTGCTAACCAAAATCATGCTACCCGTACACGTACACCGAAACCGGGGTATCTTAACCTCTCTATTATCAGAATAATTCTCAATATTGTTTCATGAAAGAGAAGCGATATATAAATGCCTTGTTCCTAGGTTTCGGTCTGCAAATTTGTTCAGTCTTTTCTTAGCCTAGAAGTCAGACAAGCCCAGGACACAATAAAGCATGCAAGCTTTTAGTATTCGTCTTTATATGAATACTATATTATTTTACCGTAAAAAGTCAACAAGGATACAAAATACATGACACTTTTATCTCTACATTGCCACAAGTCCGAAGCTTTGCGTTGCTCGGTTTACAAACGGGAAGTGTAGTTTATGGAAGCTTGTCAATCACTTCATTTGAATCAGTTATCAACCAATCAGAGCTCTGCGTCCAAATTTTGGACGCATGCACATAAATATCATAGGGATCCTTGCAGGCTCTCTTTCACCCAGAAAGCCTGCTCGCAGGCTAAATTACCCCCCTCCCCTTCGGACATCCACTATTTCTAAATTTTTCTAAAGGCTACCTCGCCGTTTGAAAAAACGTCACTGAAAATTAGACTGCGTTCACACTACGCGCGAGCGAACTAATGCGGGCAGAATTTATGTGTGTTCACACTGCTGCCATTACAGTTTGTTTACAAATTGAATTAGCACTCGTGTAAACCCAAAATATTTCAAATAGACCCAAGAAATTTAACTGAAAAGCATTCGAGTTTACACGTTTGTGTTCACACGAAGCTATCAAGCGCTCCCCCGTTTTCACCTCGCTCCGTTTAGAAACCGTGCTCAAATTGTTACGGCAAAAGTGACGTGAAAGTTTTCAAACGATTTCGCTGCAGCGTAGAGTGAATTAGCGATGGCTTATTCTGACTTTTCTACGCTGTTTTCAAATAGCTCCGGCATGGCGGAACACTTGGCGGCTTCTTGTGACTTGCGAACACAAACATGTGGCAGGTTTTGTCGGATAATTTGCAGAAATTCACTTCGAAATTCGTTCAAGTAAAATTCGGACTGAAATTCGATGTCACTTGCGACTGATTGACAAGCATTGCTATGTTTACTTAAGCCTGGTTCACATAAAATCGTCAAGCAGTCGCAGATTTTATGTGAACCAGGCTTTACATGTTAATGCATTTTTTAGTATTACTGCATTCCTTAACCTCGCCCTTAATATGAAAGCCATTTCTATTTTCTAGACACGCACCTCGCAAGGAAGCTTTACTGACTATATACTAAAACAAATTGTTTTGAGTTCAGTTCATATAGCAGTCTCTTAATTCGAGCATCTGTTTAATTAATAACTATTATTTTTAACACTTGAATAATTCAAACTTATATATACAGGGCTTTCAGAATTATTCTGAGTAGGTGTCTGTTTTGATAAAGTAGGCGGCTGTTGGGAGAGAATGGTCTAGGGAGTCTTAAAGTCATCTTTATTAATCATTTATTGTATATTGTGATTAGATATAGCAACATCATTGATTAGACAGCAACACAACTGCATGAGCTCTGTAACCAAATTATAATGTATCACTACTTCATTCTTCAACAAAATAATTTCAAGATTTAAGATGGCGAATAACTAAATCGGTTTAACGAAATAGTACGTCATTTTCGAAAATAACCAGGCTATAAATTAGACAAGGTTGATGAAAAGTAACTTTGTTTGAAAGCTCAGAGACGAGTGGAGGAAGGAAAGTAGAATCGATATTTCAAGTACAAAACAAAATAACCGGCGGTGAATCTCGTGCCACCCGCCGGAGCTCCGGCGGCAGCCGGGTTATTTTGAAAGCTCTGTATATACAAACGAAAACTGCAAAACTTTTATATAAATACAGCGTGTCAATTTTCGACTCATTCTCAACATGCAAGATACGCTGTTACAGCGAGTTAGTTTTTGGTGGCCATGCATGCAAAAGTGGGCCGCTTATTTTGCTTACGAGTTACGTGGACGTATAATATTATTGCTGTTACATAAACGTTCCGGTGTTCAAGAGCTACATATAGCCGATAAAAATTGCGTGCTCATTATAATCGCCGATCACATAACTTTATCACAGTCTCAAACCTTCAGACAAACATATCCACATTCCTCTCCCCCCCCCTCTCTTCGGTTTAGTTCAAAATTTAATCTATAATGCAAATGGTCCATTGAGTGCAATCGGTCGTTCCAGAAAACATCCATACTCCCCCCACGGAGGAAATTTCTGCTGTCTGGAAGGGGAGGGAAGAAAAAATTGTTTCTGATAATATGAAACTAGTTTTTCGTATATCTCTGAGGATGGTTCTGACATAGAAATGTATTAGGACATCCGAACAGGGTCTTAGCTAGGATTTTAGAACTTGGGCGTGTTTCTAAATGACCAGGGTGTGCACAAGTCAATTACCTCAAATAGCCAAATTCGCGGTTCTAGTTATGGTCGCCAACAACAGACCATACCTGTGGTTGTTCTATGCTTTGCAACCAAATACAAGGCGAGCATACGCTCATATTACGCACTGACATTAAAATATTAAGTTTTTTCAGCAACTCTTGGGGGTATTTAAAACCATTGTAACATCATACAGTTCCCATTATCCACCAAAACATTAAAACATCACATGCAGATCACTTTCGCCAATTTCAACAATAACCGTAGATTTTACAAACTTTCTTACAACGTACAGTGAATAGGAAGAAATTCTGTCTGTTATTTTATGAACCTACACAGCCTTATATAAATAATGAAACCGCATTCATTTTATCTAGCCGTGTTTTTCCCTTTTTGGCCGCGATAACACGGCCAACACGGCCCTCTGGCTAAGACCCTGCATCCGAAGGGGGGTTAACTTCCTATTTCCTCTGTGGGGGTGGTATGGATGTTTTCTGGAATGACCCAATGTATTAAATAATTTCTAGGCCAGCAAGCGATATAAAATCTGTCTCGTTTAGCGGGCCAGTCCGGCTTCCATATAAACAGCCCCGTAGACCAGTGTGCATTCCATCCACTCCACACCAGATATATCCAGCATGAGGTTACAAAATTGTTGGCGTAATGGCGTAAGATCACTCAAAAACAAGTGATTAGTTTGTGCCTGATTTCATGAATCACCACATTAGATGTTTTCAAAACATGGATTTAAGCCCCCAAAACTGAAAATCTCCGATGTATTGGCGTAAAGGATCGTATATGTTGGCGTACGTCCGGCGTACAGTTTACATGGAATGCACCCTGGCCAGTAGTGTTGGGGATTACCTCCAAGTATCGCCCAAAATAAATCACAACAAATCACAGTATAATATCTATTACAAAATCACCAATTTCACAGTTTTACAGCCACATGTTTTTAAGTTCTCTTCTCGAAAAAACAACAACCACCGGTATAATCCGGAACTTTCCGAAGTGTTTAAAGTTTGGACTTGCGCGTCCCACGCGTGAACAAAAATACTAATTCTAAATTACGACAGTTTCCGACAGTAGAAATTTTTCTTATGCACATATCAACGGCCTGCCCTGGGGGTACACCCCCGGGACTTTGAAAAAACATGATTCTAATGCATTAATTCCCCTTCCCTCCCCCGGGAAATGTGTAAGTCAAACTGCCCTCCCCCTGGGGCTTAGAATAAAGTTGTTCATAATATAAATAGCATACAAACAACTAAAAATTATCATACAAACTGGGGTATCACAATGGCACTCATGTTTTCTGTATTTATTTATTCAAATTTTAGCAAGACCACTACAAAATATAATAAGTTTGCGATCGATACTTTTCTCTGTGAGCCTGCGATTTTGAGTTCGCATCAATTGTGCAGTTCATTTATAAAATTCAAATTGTCACGTCAAAGTCCCCTACTTCCCCTCCCCCCGTCGTCCTATTATTGCGAAGTTTGTAATTTCCCCGGGGTTCACGGGCAGAATACACGGATAAAATACCAAATTCCCCCTCGTTTCCCCCCGATTGTCCCGGGGTGTACCCCCCCGGGCAGGCCGTTGATATGTGCATTAAAATATTTTAAAATTTCCCCCCAACCTTTTTAACTCTCAAATAGTTCATTACATATTTATTGGTTAGGGTTAGAGAAGGGGTTGGGCTCTGTTTATCCATACCTTATCTTATTCCTACAGTACAAATTTCAATATAGCAAATCAAACTCGGCGTACTGTTCCAGTACTTCGTATTAATATACAACTAAATGAACTAATTATTAAAAAGTAAACTGACCTTTAAACTGA